TTTCAATGCGCGCCCTTGATCTTTTTTATAGGTAACCTTAAAGGCTGTGTCAACATCACTCATGTTATGGTTCATCTCGATTGGATGTTTGGCTATAGATGAAGTTGGCAGTCGTCTGCCATATACGTCTATTGATTCCCCACAATTCATTTTGTCTTTCTAACCATTTCGGGATATGCTCTCCCTTTCTCAAATGCAAATTTATAAAAGGGACTAATTGTTTTTCCAATTATTGATTTGTAATTAATATTGCTTAGGTAATATTCATACATAAATTGTAGGTAATTGATTAATCTCATATTTCATAACGATTTTTATTGTGTTTTTCTTTTCAAATTCTTGAAGTAATATTACTACTAATTTCATTCACACCAACTTATTGATAATTAATTGACTAGTGACTAATGTCATCTCTTAATACGGAAGAGCATATCGATTAAATCATGTGGCATACAGTAAATATTAATTACAGTTATCGTGAATTCTTATCAGGAACTGCTATTATTAATTTACAGTAGGTGGGTTTATTTGATATAACACACGCACATACACACAAACACAAACATACACACAGTGGTAAAGTATTAATAACTCGATGATAACGTTTTGAGTACAACTTATTACTGCTCATGTAACAACAGAAGACAAGGACCAGGCAACAGATCGTTTATTGAGGAAATCAAGAGATATTTATCCATTTTTATGTACATTATAATTCGTTATTATTGTTAGCAGAGAGGAAACGTCTTCTGATTGGTTGTTTTCCTGCTGAAAGTTATTCTGTCATCTCTTTGTTGCCGTTTTTTAGGCAGTCCGTTGATATTTCTGCTGATCGCATCCGCCCACGCTAAGTCTGCTTTGATTGGTTGTTGAGTTGGTCTTTGTTCTTGTATTTTCTCATGACCAAGATTTGGGACGTAAACATTGACGTAAATTGCTGTCTTACCAATTTTGGCTAGTAGACAGCTCTCACCACACTCATAATCATTTCAGTCTATTGCACACGCCTTACACCATCTAGTTTTTAAAAAATGTTATTTTCCATGTATCAGGAATAAGTGTTGCGTCATTCTGGTTACACTTGTTTGGTGTTTACTCTACTAACAAAGATTCGGTGATCAACCTCTCTCTCTCTCCGTATCCAGCTAATTGTATTACTTTTTGTGTATTTTTACCCTTTCCTACTCTATTTTGTGACTGACTGACTTTACATGCCAGTAAATGCATTTCCGTGCCCGAACCATTTTCCACATTATTTTTAATTTAGCTGTTACGAACAATATCCCTATTTCTATGCTCTTACAGTTTTGATAATAATCATTCCTGATAGGTATTCATCAATCAATGTTTTATTTTTTTTAGATTACGTAAAACCACTTAGGGTGAGGACAAAAGTCATCACATGATACCTTCGTGCATAGCATAGCATAGCGAAATATGGTGCAGTGGATATTTTAGGTTTATGAAAAATCGATAAATCAACTTTAAAACGAGTGAAGGTGTAAGAAATTGCTAAAGTGAATTCACCTCTACTTCATTTCCACCTCCTTGATGGAATAGTCCAAAGGTGGTCACTTACGATATGCTCATTGCCTTCACGTGGTTAGTGCGTTCTTCACAAAAGTACGAATGTCTGAAGTTACAAATGGATCAGTTAATGGACATGTAGGTCTACCTAGTGGAGCTGAAATAGCCTGATTCGAAATCTCTGACTCCAGAATCTGAATGGCGTGTGGACCTGGTTTAGTCACTGGAAACCATGGGAATGTAGCTCTTGACACTGCTCCACTGTTTTTTAGATCGAACTTTAAGTCATGAGCCTCTTAAGATAATTGCCCGCTTTGACTTGAGCATCTGAGCATTATCCAAGCCCTTATGCAGACTATAAGATATTGTTTGGCGCATCTGCTGGTGTCCCTAATTGTACTAAGTTTGTGATCGAGTAAAATGATAATAATAACAATTAGTTGGTGTTTTGCACGGTCTTGTGTGATTTTCTATATTGCGTGTTTAAAGGAGAATACTGTACACATTTCAAATGTTATACTTGACCATTTTAAAGGTTATTTCATGGATTGCCGTTTTTTGCTTTACACTGTTGCAATATCTTTCACACCAATTGCTATGCTATGCGCGAAAACACCTTGCGATTATTTTTAACTCCACCCACTAATTCTCAAATTTCAATAACCTAACTAATCTTGATCAAAGTTTTTGATCTATGTGACTGATCTTTAGCGTCATTGCATATTTGGCAAATTATTTTATAACATTACTATTATTTTTCATGAGTCGATTTGTAGGGATTTGATTGGTTTTTCTAGCTTGACCACCATGGACCCATATCAGTTAGAGAACCATTAAAACCAGCTGGGAAAAAACTGGACAACTGTTTCGTCAGCCTAGTTTGGGACTCTTCATCACTATGCACCCACCGACATGGTTCCAACCCAGGACCTTCTGGTTACAAGGCTAGCACGCTCGTGCGCTAATAAGCCACTGGGATCCTGTCCAATGGTCCATGAATTCTAACTCCTGTCAATTTTTATAACATAGCGCGACCACTTTGCAATGTCTTCTTCAATGATTTACTGCCTCACCGGCGGGTGCGTACTTCTGAAGTGTCTCAAAGTAGAGCGAAACAGCTGTCCAGTACTCCCTGATGGTTTCCCAGTGGTTCTCTAACTTATGTCAGCTCATGATGAAATCCTCCATCCAATCAAGCACAATCCCTACAAAACTAATACTTGAAAACTGTGGGTTCAATTACATAAGTCAGACTAGTAGATCGGGATCGATTAAATTATTGGGATATGAAAATGTAACCATATCTAGCACGATAGATCCCGCAACATTAAATTATCTGGAAAAATGCTCGACCATTGTAATGCATTTTACTTGCATGTAATTCAAAAATAGTGTGGGACAGAGTATAAGTATTAAGAAGCAATATACTGCCAGTTGGAAAGTAAGTAACCTGTCCATCACTGAAGCTTTGCTTATCGAATTAATTCCAGTCATCTGCAATCGAAATGATACAACACCTAGACCGGATGTATGGAAAATTACAGTAAGAAGACAGGAGGGAATAAGGTTATATAAAGCAAATTAGCGAGTTGTGTGTGGTTATGACAAGCTAACCACAGACATTAGATTCCTTCCCCTCAGTTGAGCGGTTAATAAGCTTGCCTTGTAAGTTGAAAGCCTTTAGTTAGATTCCTGTTGAGGAGTTCCAAACTAGGACGAGAAAACTATGCAGTAAGTAATCCCCGGTTTTCAAGGATTGTTTACCGACGGAGGTCAGTTCACGATCAAATAGAAAAAATAATTAAATCCCTGCAAACCAACAGTTGATATGAGAAACAAATTGAGCTCGGAAAGTCATTCAATTTATAATATTGTATTGTAACGACAAAAGACAAGGGCCAAGCAACAGATCGTTTATCGAGGAAATCAAGAGATATTTATAGATTTTTATGTACATTATTGTTCGTTATTGTTAGCAGAGAAACAGCGTCTTCTGATTGGTTGTTTTCCCACTGAAAGTTATTCTGTCATCTTTTTGTGGCCGTTTCTTTGAAGGTCAGACCATATATCTGCTAATCGTATCCGCCCATGCAAAGTCTGTTGTGATTGGTTGTTGAGTTCCTCAAGGTTAGGCTTTGTTCTTTTTTTTATATAATGGAAAATTCCCATTGTAACATATAGAAAATCAAAACAAATGATTCAGCGAAGAGACTCTTTTCAACGAATTTATCATCAAGCTGTAAAATCGTATATATGTGGTTTTTAAGAAGTTATATCCGGTGAGGGTATTGAATCATAGGTGTGAATGCATAAAATAATAATAATAGAAGTATGAAATGCAATTAAAACTAAAATGTTTGTGATTATAATGGTAGTTAAATGTCAAGTGGCAAAGCAAATTAATGTCATATATAGAATAATTCATAGGATGGACAGAACTTGAAAAAGGGTGTGCAATTATAAGATTAGTAGACAAATCGAATAGAATAAAAACGTTACGTAATATTGTGTGAAATTTAATAGCATAGAATTTAATGTTGCATAAAGGAATTGATTTAGAATGACAAGTGGAACAAGTGAAATAATACCGGGGACAGTTGAAAGTGAGAGTAGTAATAGTAACAATTGACGTAATAAGGAAGAGTATACAAATTGAATAGACAAAAAAGAAAAGATGAAAAATTGGTAGAGCTAAAATATGATTGGGGATTACTATACTTTAGAACAGTAGAGGGATTAAGACCATGAAAGTTGGAGGGGCTGAACGAACCTTTTCTGCATACAGAGATTTGGTTTTTCTGTTTCGATAAACAAAGCTTCAGCAATACAGATGAGTCGGGTACGTATGGATTTGGTTAAATTACTCTTTACATGAGCTTGGAATTCAAAGGAGACCTAGCTTCCGATATCATGAAACGAAGGATATCACAGTCCCTGAAAAGAACATTTCCTGCTGCATCTCTGAGAATGGCCTTTACTAGTCGACCATTATTGTTCAATAACCTGAAGGACTAGATCCCGCTGTTGACCAACTCTATGTATGTTTATCAATTCACCTGCTCGTGTGGAGCTAGGTATATCGGTCGTTCGACACGAGTTTTTTCCAAGAGGGTGCAAGAACACTATCCTGCATGGTTACGAAAAGGTGGAAGTGGAACGATAAGAAGCGCGATCATTGAACATCTGGTCGATAATGATCACCCTATCTCTGAGGCTTCCGCCTTTAAAGTCATCTACAAGGCAAAGAGTAATTTACCCAAATCCCTACATACCTCACTCACTCACTGTATGCTATGCCAAATGAACTCATGTAATGCGAAATTATATTCTGTCATAGTGCTCAAACTACTCTCCTACATTTATTACTATTATCATCATTATTATTTCAGTTAACAAGATAAATATCTATCTGTCTGAATTATTTCATCTTTCATCGATTTCCCTTATTGCTTTTCCCTTTCCCTCCTTTGCAGGAATTATCTAAAATTACAATGCCAATAGTATTGAATGAGCCATTAAGCTTTTTACAACGAATAGCTGAATATATGGAGTATTCTGAATTACTAGATGAGGCAGTTAAAGAAAGTGATCCTGTAAAACGTATGGAGGTGAGCTTATTATTATTATCATTACTGTTAAAGAAACATAAACAGAAATTTATTGAATAAGTTATCGAATTACCTACTAATCACAATAATAATCTGCTTTATTCCAAAAACAGACAGTACTCATTATTATTATCACTATTATTATTATTATTGTTCCCTTGGGTTCCTAGTGGAACATAGGGCTTCAACTGCACGTCTCCACTCGCTTCTGTCTTCTGCTGTACTTTTCACCTGCATCCATGTTAGTCCATACTGTTCCAGCTACTCTTCACACGATCTCCTCCATGTCAACATTGGACGTCCCACTCGCCGCTTCCCTTTCGGATTCCACTCGAGGGCCTGACGTGCGATATCACGCAGCGGCCTCCTCAGCGAGTGTCCAATCCATCTCCACTTTCTCCTGCATATTTGTTGGGCGATTGGTCCTTGTTTTGTTTGTTCCTATAGTTTCTTGTTGGTGATTCTTTCGGGCGGCCATCTGATCTTGAGTATAGAACGAAGACAGCTGTTGATAAATGTCTGCAACCACTCATAATACAGCATGGAATTATCAGCATTTGTCACAATATTGCATCGAATTTACTCAAAATAGAAATAAAAAGTAACCACTGGAATTTGTCCACATTTACAGTGGGAATAAAGTCAAAAATGTGCAAAATATAAAATGAGATTAACAACTCTAACAGTAATAACAGTGAGTTTGTTTAAACAATATTTTCGATATTGTATGGGAATCGTAGCGTGCTACAGAGTATTGAATCTTATGTCCGTGTCACATCGCGTGGTGAGAAGAAAAACAAGAAAAATAACAATTATTACATAGGTCAAGTGATGTTTACACTTAAGAGAAAATAAACAAAACAAAATAAATGAGAGGACTATGAATATAAGAGGAATAATAACAGTAAACACTTATGGTATAAACATGGAGAGAATTGTTTATTTACTAGTGAAAAGAAGGTTAGTTAGTTAGTTAGTTCGTGCCTGTCACTATTTTCATCACGTGAAGTACTTGCCGAATATGGTATTTTGGAATTTTTATACTTAGACATGCGCGCATATACTCTTTTGAAATGACTTCCTGTTGTACCTGAGGAGATGCAAGGTGACACTTGCAGGTACTGCAGTGGATGCTAGAAGTCTGACAAAATCTCTTCAGCAAATTTATTGCATGAAATCAAGTGGCTATCAATAATGATGATGCCAACGATATGGCCCAATGGGATACCACTCGCCCTTGTTACTGTCAGTCTTCAGAGTTCTACAAAGTATCACCTAGTCCTTTTTAAGCAACTCAGGAAAGAATAAGTGTGAAGAATAGGTAGGATGCAAGAGTTTACAAAGTGTAGGAGGAGGGGTTGAGTTGTCCCTGAGGGCCTTAACTTCTTAATGTAAAGTGTCATACGGAATATTTTACTGGGAAGACCAGAATAGGTCAGAAGAAAGAATTAATCCAAGATACTCAACTTCATTAATTTTGTAATGGTCATGGGAATTAAAGGCTTCATTTAACTTCCTTTCACATCTGAAACTGAAATTAACAGTCTGACATTTGAAGGGATTCAGTTTAAGACTATTAGACAAAGACTATTTTTTGACCCCTGATAGAAGGCTGTTCATTTTACAACTTTCTAGGTGGAAGGTGACAGGCTTTGAAATAGTTAGACCGTCTGCATATTGAACAAAGTTCATTCCGTCAGAATGAGGCAAGTCATGCACGAAGAAGGAGAATGGAAAAGGAGAAAGAACAACACCTCGATAGACGCTAGCCTCCTTAAGGATTCCTGGTAGAAGAGAGGGCTTCAAATTTGTTTTGAAGTTTCAGTAGCAATAGAATGGGTTTTATGCGGTGAGGTGTCTAGCTTCTTTGCCCAACCTTCTCTCTTTTTTTGGGTTTTATCACTTGCTGGTAAACTAAGTAGGCTTTAGGAGGAGTACACTGGGCAAGAATCTGAAACTGTCCATGTACATTGCTGGCTAGAGCATTCCATCATTCAATCACTGACACAATATCCAATTCTAATGAAAATGAATATTATTTTAGTGGTAGAATGCTCGGCAGTCCTGTGAGAAGTCTGAGTTCGATTCCCGATCGACGCACTCGTAAACCTTTCATTGTAGTTTACTAATCGGTAGTTAGTAAGTCCGGGTATAGTATGGAGGTTGGACGATAAGGCTAACAACCCAGTAATTTGAGAGTGGTTCTCAACTAGCTAACTAACTCATTGGCTTGAATACCCGACTTACAGAATAGTGAATGGGTTGTCTGTTCGAACCCCACTCCACCTACTTCAGCCCGTCTAGGCAACTGTAATGTATGATTAGCCGTCACATATAATAACTGTGCAGCTCTTAGCCTGGAGCATAGAAAAATTGTCTCAGGAACTGAGTTTAAGCGACTAACTAACTAACCAACCAACCAATTATTCATACTTCTTTCATCAGTACAATACTCTTTTGTTTTGTGAAAGTATGTCATTATATTCCAGTCTATTTTTTTCTAACCATTAATTACTTCTGAAAGAATGAATAATTTTCGAAGAAGAATTATTGAAGATCATCTGTTGGTTGGAAGCAGTCCCCCCTTCATTCTTCGTCTGCTTTTGATTTCAAGATGATATAAATTCAGACAAAATCTTATCATCACTTGAAATCATAGTTTGTTTCCCTTCAGTCTGCCTATATCCTTGAAAAAAAGAGGGAGTTTCTCATGCTGTACGATCGTATCGATTTGTGAGTAAACTGATCGTAACCGTGGTTGTGGTGGTGGTGGTTACGGATGCCAAATGACAGGGCATGTGATTTGTCAATTTTTTTATGCAATGAAATAAAATTTCTACTGTTTTTTTGTATATTTTTTATCGGAAATATTGATCAGTCACTGAATTGAGTGAAACAAGCGTAATGTCTCTCCAGTTCTTAGTTTCCTGTTGGTTACTGAATTCTATCCGTCAGGTTTGCAATATTTTCAGCAAAATAGACGATTTATTAGTGATTAAGCAATAAATCCATTACAGTCCTACAACAACAGGTCATTGGCGAGTCCGAATATCCTAATAGTAAAGTCTCTTATTGCAGTGCCAGATAACCTCAATTCAAATATCTAAAAATGAGATCAATATCTTCGAATTACCCAGTACGTTCTAGCATTTGCTTTTTAATGAAAAGATGGCACCATGTTTTACGAATAAAGCTTGTGCACTGTGGTAGAGTATAATTCCATTATGGGTAAAATTTATTTTCATAAAGTCTCACAGTATTATACAGTAATGTTTACTGATGACGTTTCGACCACAATTTACCGCTGCTCATAATCATATCAAGACACTACTCACACAACTTTCTAACTTTGTTTATATAATTCCATTATTTCCTGCCGCTTGATTTGATTGGTAGTAGTATTTTCCATATTTCCAGTATGAGTGATTAGTCATTGCATCCTATTGCACGTGTTGGATGTGGACTCGATGAACAAGAATTCAGTAGTCAACCTGTCTCTCCACATACCTATATTACTTCTTAGGATTTTAACCTTCTCCCGCCCACCCTATTATGTGGTTGTGTGTTAATGCATGCAGTGCAATTGCTGAGTTCCTTTTTCTAAATTACTCATCTTCTCGGGGTCAACCATTCTTACCTTAGCTAGATTTTTATGTTCCGACAATCTGACTACCCTCGACCTACCACTCTAACTTATGTAGTTGACTTAACTCACAGTCATTGCAAGGTGTTTTGTAAATTATATTATTTTGTCTAATTTGGTCAACTGGGTCATTTACCCTACAGAGATTGTCCTACCTGAGTGAGTTTGTAGGTTTAAATGCCACTCTAATTCCTGCTTTATTAACAATCACACGCACATTGTGCTTGAACCTTTTCTGCTGTTGTCTTATCTATTGAACTTAATGCTACTTCTATGTTAGGAATGACATCCTCTGGTTTTAATTTACTAAATGTTTTAATCCTTTCTCAAGTACTTTTATCTTACGACAGACAGAAGAGGTTCGAGCACAATGTGAGTTAACCCTGAAAAATCAAAAGAAAGCAAAATCAAACTTCACAAAACCGGGAAGACTAGCTCTAATTAGTCTAAAACAGGATAAAAACATCGTCATCGCAAAAGCTGACAAAGGAAACTCTACAGTAGTTTTGGATAAATCTGACTATATCAAGAAAGTCACTGAACATATTGAGACGGGTCCATATGAGGAAATTAAAAAGCCTGTAGATACAGTAATGAATACGGTTAAGAAATCTACAGCGGATTTAATACGCTGAATGAAGCCGTCACTGGGTGACTCTAAATGATTTAATTTAATGCCTGAAACTAGTAATGCTAGTGGAATATATATTGTACTACAAAAATACATAAACCAGGTGACCCCATAAGACCAATAGTAGATTTCAGAAATACGCCTACTTATGAATCCATTTAGACAAAATAATATAATTTACAAAACACCCTGCAATGACTGCGAGTGAGGTCAAACTAGTAGGTCGAGGGAAGTCAGATTGTCGGAACATAAAAATCTAGCTAAGGTAAGAATGGTTGACCCCGAGAAGATGAGTAATTTAGAAAAAGGAACTCAGCAATTGCACTGCATGCATTAACACACAACCACATAATAGGGTGGGCGGGAGAAGGTTAAAATCCTAAGAAGTAATATAGGTATGTGGAGAGACAGGTTGACTACTGAATTCTTGTTCATCGAGTCCACATCCAACACGTGCAATAGGATGCAGTGACTCATCACTCATACTGGAAATATGGAAAATACTACTACCAATCAAATCAAGCGGCAGGAAATAATGGAATTATATAAACAAAGTTAGAAAGTTGTGTGAGTAGTGTCTTGATATGATTATGCGCAGTAATAAATTGTGGTCGAAATGTCATCAGTAAATATAACTGTATAGTGCTGTGAGACTTTATCATACGGGTACCATGTGATTGTACTTGGTTTGAATCATCTAGTGGCTTAGGCGTGACATCCGGCTAT